TTCATCCATCCAGTAAATGCAAACAAGCAGATTTTAGGATAAATAACACATATTAAGCATATTTGTATATTGTTGCTTAGTTAATAGAATTTTCAAGCAAAATATTTAAAATGGCTTTTCTTGACATCAGGTTTTTAATATTTGCCTGCATCAGCTTTTCTGTTGCAGTTTATTTTTTTATATAACTATAGAAATGGGTAGCATTTTACTCAGTGGTCTGCCATCTTCAGTTTGATATGGTAGTAAAGTAACGGAACAATTTCAATTTTTATCTTCAAAAAATCTCCATCATTACTGAAACAACTTATCATTTGTTCCTCTAACACAAAAATTATCTTATATGCTGTGGAGATGGTAAGTGCGAAGCCTCAGATCAATGTTTAAGTAATTGTATTTAGAGTTGATGTTATTTTCATTATTTGAGTCAAGGGGAAGAAAGAGGTATTTATTTTTGTACTTTGCTAGAAAAGGTGCATGATTTACAATAAACTGATTTATTTATCACGTATTTTTAAGGAATTTGTAAGCTGTTTTGTAATTCATTCCAAAGCAATAACAAAGGAGCAAAACATAGGCAACAAAGGAGGATAAGAGCTGAAATAGAAAGTTATGTAGAAAATATTTGAAAGTTAGTGAAAAGCAACCTGATTTGAAACAACTGATTCATGCCAAAAGGTTCAGGTCTACCAGGAAGGCATTCTAAAGCTAAGGAACCACCACAGATCCATGAAATTGATCTTTTGATGGACACACACTTAGACTTCCAGTGCAGATTTCCAGTGTATGGATAAGGTTATATGGGTCCATTCCATCTTCTTGTCTAGATTCTTGTTCAAGTGGACCGTCCCCTGTCTCCGTGACCTGTGTATGGTGGGATCACTGTCCAAATACTCAGTTTCTCTGCAAGCTTCTTACAGATGTTGAAAAGCGTAGGTGATAGCATAGGACCTTGTGTCATCCCACAAACTGCAAACTAAAAGTATAGGGCAGAAGTCACTCAGCAACACATGATGGGCTAAAATTGTTGGAGTTTTGTGCCATCCAGAATAAATAACCAAAATAACAATGGTGTCTGATGCCTTTGAGAAGTCTGGCAAAACCAGGAGGTTTCATTTACACTATCTAGCTCCTGGCCATTTATCAACTGAGCTTACCAAAGCTATGTCAGCCTTGAAACCCCCTTTCACCCAATTAATCTGTTCTCTCCAATGCCCCAGAGAGTTGAGAATCCTCAACCTTACTAACCTTTGCCTAAGAAAAGAAGGTTGGAAACTGGAATGAGTTGACTAGGCTCAAAAGATTTAAATGACTGGTAGATATGAAAAGCTACAGCACTGCTACACACAACCCTGGAGAAGCCCCCAAGAGCTAATTCTAGGATCCTGTGATTCTTAGCTAATGAGTATAACCTTCACCTTCTCATTAGCCTTTTCAAAGCAGAACTTACAACGTGACACAGTCGATCTAGCAGAAATTTCAGCACAGAATGTGTTCAGCTAAAATCCAGGCAAAATGGATGCTTATAAGGGACAGCTTATAAAATATGCAGCAGACCCACCATATAGTAACTACAGGAAAATTCTACCCGCTGCTATTATTTGATGTGCCATGTCTAACTTACATATAAGGCTCTTCTAAATCTAGCCTGAATTAATTTCATTGCAGTTTATACCCAAAGCTGGGTCAGGATTGGTGAAAGGTCTGGTGCCTAGGCTGATTCTCTGCAGGAACTTTATGCTATGAGATAATCCAGTAAAGGAGACCATCTATGAGGATGCCTATTAAATCTGAAACAAGGTTGCTGGTCTCTTTGTCAGCTTTCCAAGATGACTTGATGCTGTCACTGAGTGGCTAAATTTGTGTAACATCCGTAGCTTGATTAGTGAATATACTAAATCAACCAAGTAGGTTGGGTTTACACAACATGTAGAGTTTGCAGGCAGACAATCTTAAATTGTAACAACCACAGGACAGGCATATAGGACAGCAGGGAGAAACCAACAGGGTTGGGCACACTTACAACCATCATCTGCCTTTCCTGCAGTCCAAATGTAATTAAAATTAACATTAACCATGTTTAGCATCTTGTGCAAACACAGCCATTCTGTTTTAACTGTCTTGGAAAGTTTTTCACAACCTAATAATCCAATTAGATGAAAAAAAACCATGGCCTCCGTTACCTGGAAATAACACCAGTGATAGTCCAACACATTTAAGAGTAGTACAGGGCCCAGAAATTTCTCCTGCATTTTTTTTTTTACCAGTTGTTTTCAATTTGATGAAAGAAACATGACTTCTAACATTTGTTTGGAAGGAAAAGAGAATTTTGTAGACATTTTACTAACAGGAGCATCATGTTCCTGCCTTGGTTCAACAGTGAGGTAGCCAAGGAATGCATCTGGCTAACGTCCTGTCTTGTGTAGGCTTACCTGCCTCCAACAGGCTGCAGCCTTTCTCACTTCTCCTGCAGCCACTAAATCCCAAAAGAAGGGAACAGGAGGAATCCCTCCCATTGGACTTTCTCAATGATGGTACAACTCTCACCACGAAGAGGGGAGTCTTGTCCTTGAGAAACCTTTGGAGAATTTCTTCTTTCCTGGGAGAAAGTTGAAGAAATTGTCCTCTCAATTTTCCAGCCCACAAATTTGGTGGAGAATTTTGAAAGGCCAGTTGTGTCTAATCTGAAGCATTGAAGAAGGGCAGGGTGGGGGGGGAGTTGTCCTCACTTAGATTTAGGATGTGTCTGGACAGTGTAACAGGGAGAGCTTATAGTTAGTTGGGAATGTGTTTGATTTTACTTCCTTACTTAAGAATTACACCATCAGCTTGCTGAAAGCTTTTGGTATTATTTGCTAATAGGAAAAGGTTTGCTCCTGTGATTGGAGGAGGGTAGAATTTGCAGGCAGACAATCTTAAATTGTAACAACCACTGCACAAGCATATAGGATAGCAGGGAGAAACCAACAGGTGCTTTTGGACACACACAACCATCTTCTGCCTTCCCTGCAGTCCACACACACTCATAATCTATGGCACAGTATATAACTTGAGACTGCAGGTGTGTTTATATGTTTACGTGCATTTTTTGTACATGCATTACAATTTCTCCGTGAGTTGAAAACTCAAAACGTATTGTTTCTGATCTGTTGGGAAAATCAGGGAAAATTGGGGGGGGGGGGATTTCAAGATGGCTTTCTTCGCTTCTCCAAAGTGTGATGTGGTCCACCCACTCTATCACCTGAAAGCCACGTCGCCTGGGTCTAAAATTTCATGAGAACCCGTCCTTCTCAGCAGCCCAGCTTTTAAGAGGTTCTTGAAAAATCTTTGAAAAAGGATTAAGGGGGAGAGATTTCATTTCAGGCAAACTGTAATTGCTACCTTTTAAAAATCAATTTAGTTTACCAAATGTTAAGCTTATCTGCAGGCACATAGAGGAGGGCTGTAACCTTTTCAGTGATGAATCATACTCCCCATCCAAGTAGGTGGAAACTGATCCAGAAATGCAAAGAATTGCTCCATGCCCCTTCTCTTGTGAAATGTGCAGTTTGTTCCTTAATTCATCATCTTGCAGAATACACACTGTGCATCTATTTAGAAAAACGTCCCCTCCATTTTGGCACAGAAAGAAACATGGTTTTAATTTCCTTGGTTCGTTCTCTGTGGGTTTTCTTATTCAATTCTTTTCTTCCCCTTTTAATATCTGTTCTTCAGGATGCCTCATTTTAAAATGAAATCTTTCCCTGTTTTTTGCTCTATAAAAGGGCCAATTTATAAGAGAATGCATAAAGTTAGCTGGGAGTATCTTAAAGGGACCTCAGAAATTATTTGCGTGTCTGGATAAGAAAAGCCATTCAGGACAGATGCCCACCAATTCTGAAGTGTAAAGTAACTGGGATGATATCTTTGGGGAGACTGAGTTAAAAGGTGAACTCAGAATGCTTTATTTTATTTTGTTTTGTTTCTGGAATCAGAATCTTTTTCAAATGTCTTGAGGAAGGCCTCCAGGGGTAGACTGTTTCAAAACTCTGCCATCTGGTCCATGTCCCCCTAATCTCTGAGGTTGTGGGAAGGGGGACCTTTAACAGACACCCTTGAGATGTTATTCCTTTGGCCACTTCAGATGCTCCAGCTGGGTAGAAAGGTGAAATATAAATCAAATAAATAAATAACCTGGAAATCTGTATGGTAAATCAGGCCCTTGATTCTTATTGACTGGCTATCCTGGTAGCCAAAAGTGATGTGAAGAAAGTGATGTCTGATAGCAACCTGGCAGGCAGGCAGAGCAATTTAATAAATGGGTGTCTCCTCCATAATCTTCAGTTCCTAATGAAAGTAGTGCCTGCCTGTATATGTATGAATATTGAGTGTAGGCAGCCATTCTCTGTGAAAAGAAAAGGCTTTGAGAGACAATATGCTGGATTCTCTGTGTGAGGGTTTTGGTTTGGTTTGGGGGTTTTGGTGCCTTCAAGTCTACTTTGACTCCTGGAGACTGCCTGGGCAGGTTCCTGTGGTTTCTTTGGCAAGATTTTTGGAAATGGTTTGCCCTGGCCTTCTTCCTAAGAGTGAGAGAAAAGGACTGGCCCAAGGTCACCCAGAAGGCTGTGGTTGCTGTTGAG